AGAAAGACTGGTGATTTGAAATAAAGGAGACAAGCTAAAGATTCCTGAGGACAGTGATAATGACAAATTGCGCAGAGGAAGAGGGGAGCTGAGAAAAGACCAGTAAAGGGAACAGAGGTACGGAAAGAAAATGTGTGCGAAGGAAATGAAGGGGGGAAAGAGAGCTGAGCACTGAAAAAATAAGGGCAAGAAGATGCACCGTTAAAAACCAGAGTTGCATCCATATTCCAGGTTCAAACTGTGGCATTCTGAGCCAGAGTCAAGCCTCTGTCCGCAGCGTAACAAGTTTTCCTCTTTGCTTCCTAAGCCCATAGAGGGATAAGGGCAGAACCTTTCTAATGGACTCTCCTGAGCTGAGCGTGCCTGGTGTGTGCCACGGAAAATGTATCACATTCATCCTAACACCCTCTGAGAGAAAAAATGTAGGATGATGTGGGCTCAAACAGCCCATCCTGTGGGAAATTACTTCAGAGGAACAGATCAACTCATTAATTTGCAGCTTGGGACTTGTGTGATTTTAGCAAGAATAAAGTCCATCTGTGTCTTTTATTCAAACATGTCATTAATATGCCATGCTACTAAACTTCAGTAAATATGCAGCCTGACAACTTACTTGGAAGCACCGGCTTAAGTCTGTAGCCAGCTTTTGGCGTACAAATTGTCTAATTTTATAAAAGGTTTAGCGTGTATTAGCTGCTCTGTAGGTTATAATAGAATATTTATGCTGCATACCATTTAACTTTGTCCCTTATGAGAAAGGCCTATTGGATTTAATGGGGGTGAAACCAAGGGAGGTTTTAGAGAATAAGTACAGCTGTTCTAGCATATTAAAGGAGCTATCTGTTGTTGAAATTAAAGGCCCCAATTCGTCATGTTAAGTGACCACATGGTGAATTTAAGTACTGTGTGAGTCACTCATCCCTGCCACTCCTTTCCCTTTGGATCATGGAAAAAATCACCCTCCACATATCATATGTTTCTACCCAGACCCCAAATCCTCAGGATTGCTTCTGGACCACTGTTAGCAAACTGCTTCCACTGCTTGCTGAACTGGGGCCTTGCAGGGTTTCTAGAATCGTTTCTAAAATCCCACAGAGCTGGATAAAGATTGTGCTGAGGAGTCCAGCAGAAGAGTTTCTCCATAGCAGCCGTCTCACCGGAGAGCCATGTCATTGGGTTCTGCTTGCATGATGATTCACAACGTTACAGGCTGCTGTGCTTGTTCAGCCAGGGATCAGCACTGATGAATTACAGACTTCTCAGCGACAGTGCAAAACGGTCGGCTTTTTCAGCAGAGATGTAACATAGTTCTTGTCTCTCGTCTCTCCTAGGTGATGAACATCCGCAAAGTCCTGAACAAAGTTGAGAAGCCAGAGGGCCTTTATCCCAACTTTCTCAGCCCGGTGACAGGGAACTGGGTGCAGCGTAGGTATCACTCTGCGTTCAGTCCTGCCTGGAGCATTTCAGTCTTTCCGTTATTCTTTACGAAGCAATAGCAACTGTCAGAGCAGCAAGCCAAGGAAATGTCTTGTCAGGCAGCCTGTTATACATGTGATTAGATAATGCAACCCGATTTGTAAGATGCAATATAGTAATTGTACACTTATTCCATCAGCCTTGTTTCCAGCTGAGTGTCTCACCTCCAGAGAGAATTAGGGCCTCTCTTGCACAGGGGAGGATAATGGTACATGGTTCATCACACAGATATTAGAAATCAGCACATCTCTTTAAGACCTCATCCTGCAGTCATCACATAGCCCACAGACCTCCTTGGGAGTTGCACATGAAGGCTGTGAGCAGAAGCACTATGAGATTTACTTCCTGAGTGCGCTGCAGCAAGTAAGGAACCCCCTGGAGAGGCAGAGGGCTTACAGAGTCTCAGATCCCCCTAGGATCTAGTGATGCGTCCTCTTGTGTGCATTCGTGTACCTGCCCCTTCCTTACCCAGAGAGGAGACTGTACCCCTCTTTTTGTGCCACCAAAGGGCAGAAGCTTGCCCTGTGGTAGGAACATGAAAGGCTACTTCTGCTGCTGTGCCCCACATCTCTGACCTCAACTTTCCGCTCTGTTAAGGATTTGCTTGTTTTGGCAAGGGAGAGTTGCTGGATTTCATGTTTCTCTGTCACAGGAAAGAAAAGTCTCTTTTTGCAGAAGCTGTTTTTAACCTGTCAGTGGATTACATTTATATTGTTTAAGCAGTTTTCTTGGAGTCATTGCATTACCTGGTGTCCCCATGTCTCGTTGCACTGTTTGCTCTGCTAGATCGCTCCAGACCTTTCTAACTACTGTATTAATAGCTCTGATTGTAACTGACAGGCAGTTGCATGGCTGCCATCACCTGAGACAGTGAGAGAGCACTAGCTGTGAGCAATCCCTGACCTTCACTGCCACATCAGCACCTCTAATGGTAATTGACAGGGCTTGGCTTGAAAGGTGTCCCAACAAAGCATCTTGGATGGTTGCAGTCATCCCACTAAACCAGAGCTGTCCTTTGGTGCCATGAGGAAAGAAAAGAGGCTTCTGTGTTTGTCCCATTAATTGATCTTCAAAGTTATCCAATCCCTTTGTAAGCAGTTCAGCTTCCCCTCCACAGTTGTCTCTGCAGAGGTGTTGCAGTATGTTCTCCTTGAAAAGCTAATCTCTCATCCCCTACCGCACCCCTGAGATGCCATTTTCTTTAGGTTATTCCCAACTGGCAGCCACACTGCACATTTTCCCAGACACAAGCATTAATTCTGCCTATTCATTGGTGCTGAGAGGAGAGGTGCCTGTCTGTTGCCATAACTGATCGTTACAGAATCTTTGGGAAACTGAAGAGCTGTGCTGTTAATCCAGATGGTTAAAATACTCAGCTTGATACTCAGTATTCATCTCTTCTGCCACTAATTTAATTCTATTTATGTCTGAAAATTTTACTTCATTGTACTGACCTGCTCCCACCCCTTGCTGACATAGAGAGGGGCCTGTTGCTGGTTCCTGGAGCTTATTAAAAGTAGCCTCTGATTACTTGTTCTGGGATAGGCTGATTTATGCAAAAGGACTAGAAAGAACCTCTCTCCTAGACTTTCACGTCATGGGGGCAACTCATGGCACAGGCTGTTTGTGGCAGTTGCTCATAACATGACCTTGTGGTCTGAAGCCGTATTCCAGTGAGGGAAAAGGCTGATCAGCCTCTTCTGCATCTCCAACACTGCTGGTGAGAAATAGATGAGGGCCAAAGTAAGGAGGCAGCTGCAGCCTGCCACAGAGATGTTCCCTGTAGGTGCCAGGCTCTCATTTTCTCTCTTGTCATTAAAGCTCTTTGCGGGAAGCTGTTTTTCTTGGAATTGCTGTGATTTTCTTAAAAGGTGTATCTTTGACCTGGCTGAATGAGTAGATCTTCTAAATGAAGAGGCAGTGCTGTACCTCTTCTGAGTGCAGTTGTCAACTTTAGAAAATTAAAGCGCGGTCCCCTGCTGAAACAAGAGATTTGTTTATGCAAAGTGCCTAGGAGGCAAATGCTGGCAAAGCTGATGCCATATGGAAAGCAATTATGAACCAGAGCTCCTGCTTTGGTGATTTTATGAATGATACACTTAGGATCACAGAGCTTCTCTTTAAAGACAGGCTGTGCAGCCGGTGTTTGCAAATAGTCTGTCCTCTTTTTTTCTGAATTCATGCATCTAATCTCATTGTTTTGCTATGGATTATTCCATGGATCATTGGACACACTGTATCAGGGATATTTGCTCTTCAGGTCAGGAAAATGCATGGCTGTTGATCTCTTCTGTTGGTAGGATTTAGCATTTAGAATAAGCCTCAGGTCTTTATATATGTACAGTGAAAGGGAAAATAAAAATCTGAACAGCTAACTCCAAAAACCCTGCTGCATCTGCTTACGTTTAAAATGGGGACGCGTGCAGACACAGAGGTGGACACTGTTAATTAACAGGGATGGTTCAGTCTATGGTGGGTAGTTTGTCTTGCTCTTCTAAAAAGGGGAGTACTTGGCTGCTTGAAAGAATGAATGCTGCTTTTCCCCCTGTGGTATAGTTTAAAGATATAAATCCAGCCAGCAGTTCCCCCCCAGGCAGGAACCTGCAGCTGTCATGCCCATTTCACAGTGCAATTCTTTAGCATCCTCCTCTCCAGTAAGGTCATAGCATTGTGTACTCTGAACAGATAGCCTTGAAAATCCGATTTCTGCAGAAGAAACTATTCAGTGCACATCCTTGTACTTGACTTTATCATTTTAATACACCAACAACCTCAGCCTTCCCCAGGGCACAGAGTCCCACCATGAGCCAGGAATACAAATGGCACGACTGAGAGGTCCCTACAGCAGCCCCTTGCTGGCAGCTCTGTGTGATCCAGCATGAGTTCTCCCTTTCCTAAGGCAGGGAGGCAGCACCCAGTGGCTTCATATAGGTAGAGATCTGTCAATACCTGCCATTGCTTTTGGTTTATGAGGCTGGGATTTATGATGATTGCTTCATAAACAGGAAGCATCTTCAAGTTGCAGTATAAATAACTATTGCAAAATAAGACCTCTGAATAGTTTTGGTAAGGGATACTAATGCTTTGTAAAATGACAGAACATTTTTCTTCTGATTGCACTTTCCACCTTTCTTCCTTTTTGAAAAAGAAATGCTGCAAGCTCTCCCCAGGAAACTGGAAAGAGGAAGGAGAGAACAAGGGCATTAAATAGGACATGGTTGTTTGCTCTTTGTAAAGCAACTGCTCATTGTATATCACGAACCTGAAGTTCTTTTCTGGCTTTCCCACTACAGACCATGTCTCCATTGGGGGGCTTGGGGACAGCTTTTATGAATATCTCATCAAATCTTGGCTGATGTCAGACAAGAAAGACTCTGAAGCTAAAAAGATGTATGACGATGCACTAGAGGTAAGGAGCAGGTTGCTGCTCTGTATTTTTTTGTGTGGGACATTGTTCATCAGAATGTTTCAGGCAAAAATGTCTTAGAACTTTGGGTTTCCTTGGTATTCGCTCCTCACCCTGTCCACTAAGTATCCTGAAACCCTGATTTTCATCCCTTCAGGCAATAGAAAAGCATTTGGTCAAAAAGTCTGCTGGAGGATTGACCTACATTGCTGAATGGAGGGGTGGCATCTTGGATCACAAAATGGGCCACCTGGCTTGCTTCTCTGGGGGCATGATAGCACTTGGAGCTGAACACGCCGGAGAAGAGAGGAAGCAACATTATGTGGATCTCGCTGCAGAAATAACAAACACGTGTCACGAGTCTTATGCACGCTCAGGTAAACCTGTGGGCTGCCTAGAAAATGTTAGTAAGGGATAGCTTACAGCCTTAGGAGGCTCAGCTTTTGTGTGGCAGAGGTTTGCAGTAGGGTATTTTGTGCTTCAGCAGCATCCGCATCCCTGTGTATGATTTTCACTTGTCTTTTCTGGGATATCTAGGAGAGAAAGCGGTATGTTTTACGCAGCGGACAGCTGGAGCAGAAGGACAGGCAGATGTGAGCTCCTGTGGCAGAGTTGGGAAATGAACCCAGAGCTGAATCATAGTCCTGCCTCCCAGTTGCAGAGCTAGCCTTCTCCCAACAAGACTGTAGTTTGAGTCTGTCCTTTCACATCCCTTTGCAGACAAGAAGGGGAGATTAATTGCAGGGTGTCCCACTATATGGAGCAGAGCAGCTGAGAAGCCCAACAAGAGAGCGTTGGAGACCTGCAGCTGCTGGTAGGAACCAAAAAAATGAAGTTACTCAGCCTCTCCCGGCTGTCTAAGCAGAGGCTAACTAAGTCTTTCTATTTCACAAGTCCAGTAAAATTCGTTTCACCACCCAGTGTGCTTATCAGTCAGTGCTTTGGGAGAGCAGTGACTGGTGATGAATAAGAGACTGGGTTAGTTCTCTGCCCGCAGGGCCTTCAGCAAGATGAGCTTGCTTTGGACACCACTCCTTTCTTTGTAGGCACCTCTGTAGCTCTTCTGAGACTGCAGGCAGCGAAGCAGCAGTCTGCTTTCCGGGACCTTGTCAAGCACAGGTCTGTCTGCACTAACTGTTCCCAAAGATTGTTTCACACCTTCACCACATCAGCAAGCCCATATTGGCAGCCAGTGTCCAGAATGTTTGCCCAATAAACTTCAAGCTAACCTGAAACGATGTTTGCAAATAACTCTTTTTTCCCCTAGCGCCTACAGAACTAAAACAAGACACCCGAACTAATAACCCTCTGGTTGTGAGTGCCTGGAGCCAATTTTCACCTTCAGCAATATCCATCAGCACAAAAAGGACAGTAGCGAGCCTGCCCACTCTGGTTATGGTGCTGTCATTTCAGCAAGCTCATTGTTTTGCAGAGAATGTGCGTGTCACCCTGGCTCTCAGCAAATAGTCCAACTAGCGAACATTGCTAGGTCCCCACACAGACAGGAGGGCCCAGGGAAGGTGTGCAAAATATTTAGAGAAATAAAGTGACTCCTTGAAATACAGCCTTGTGGTAGACACATGAGTGCAGCAAGAGAAACCTTGTGGCATGATCATAAGCAACCTCTGTGCTCACTTTCCCTGTTTTTTGAATAGGGAGAGGGTTGGTGCTGAAAGTGGGGATGTGAGTGCTAGTTAATGCTTGCAAGAGATTGGGATTCTCATGTAAGGGACACTCAAAAAGACCAAGGTACTCTTATTAATGTTATATTCATAAAATACCAGTGAAATTGATTAAGCCTTCCCCATCATCCTGATGTCTTCTTTTCAAAGAGGCTGCTAGCGGACCAGAAAGAAAGGCAGAAGAAGTGATTGCAGGTCCCAGGTACCACTTCTTACAGCCTCCCTGCCACAGTGCAGGTGAAATGGCTCAGTCTGGTGGACTGGTAATTGTGAAACAAATCCCCTGCTTGGGAGCAGTGTATCAATACCTCTGTGATGGCAGGGTCAGCTGCATGGCTAGTTTTTCCTTTGAATATGTTTTCTCTTTGAGGCTTTAGGACAGGATCTGCCTCTCTGTATTTTCTCATCTGGGTTCTGAGTTGGTCTTCAGTGACAAACTCTGCTCTCAGGGTCAGGGGCAGTGCAATTCCTAGGAGCAAATACCAGCCCAGCAAAAGTGCTAGGACATGGGGGAGATTTGTACCTGCCCTCTCCACACTCAAATCTGGTCCAAGTCCGTGTTTTGTCAGTTGTATGCACCCTCAGAAACACTTTATCCTCACCTGGATAGTACCCAGACATACCACAGAATGAGCAACACCTGGCGTGGCAGTGGGCACAGCTCATGCACTCTCTGGAGTTGCCCCTGTTTTGACATCAGCTGTGGGGTTGATCTGATACACAAGCATGACTGATCTGCTCATCTGACCTCATGCAAGCCTTAGTTAAATGTTGGCAGCCTGAGCAGCATAAAAGCACCTGGACAGTCTGTTTGCTTGCTTCCTCCTCAAACTGATCATTGCATGTGGGTGATTTTGTCTAGATACCAAACTCGGCCCCGAAGCCTTTCGCTTTGATGCTGGAACTGAAGCCATGGCAACGAGACTCAGCGAGCGCTACTACATCCTACGTCCCGAAGTGGTAGAAAGCTACATGTACATGTGGCGGCTGACACACGATCCCAAGTACAGGCAGTGGGGCTGGGAGGTTGTGAAGGTATGGTTGGAAAATTTGCAGTAATAACTCCTACAGGCTGCTGGATTCTTAGAAAAATCTTTCCTTCAGTCAATAAAAAGAGCAGAAATTGTTTAAATTGTGTTAGACACTAAGACACATTAGCAATGGGGCAGAAATACCCAATGTAGCTCAATTTAGCGTGGCATCTCTGTTGATCATTGTGAATGCTTTCTTCTCCCTTTTGGGCTACGCTAAAATCAATCAGTCAATCAAAACAGTGGAGGTTTATGGAGAGGAGTGCTGCAGACAGCAAAACCTGCTACTAATGTAACAGCCCTCTGCAAAAAGGAGTCAACCTTCTATTTGAAATATCTGGACTGCTCAGAACCACTGGCTCGTAGTTGGCCAGGGAAAATCAGCAAACCTGCCTTTGCCCTTTGTCTTGTCTTCTTCCCACAAAGACCTCCCAGCCAGAAAGTCATTCACTTCTTTCTAGCTCATGCAATAGCCCGTTGGCTGCTGCCCTGCATCCTAGCAGGGGCTGTGTTTCAGTGGCAGAACTGCCATTTGTCTACTGCCCTGGAAAAGAGGCTCTGCAAACAGCTGGAGTTGCCACTTGAGATCTGGTTTTGCTATGTGCGTAACGCCAGGGTCAATCAATCAACTAGCTTAGGTGGTTTATGTCTCTCTCGCTATTTCATTAGAACTAGCTTTATTCCTGGAGTCTGGAGTAATCGCCACGCTCTTCAGTGAGAGACAGAGGCTACTATAAACCTGGAATTTGATTTGTAAAGCTGACTTGTAATGCAGCTGATGATGATTAATGAGTTACTCCATGCTATTGTGTGTTACTGAGATTTCTTTTCCTTTCTCAGGCCCTGGAAAAACATTGTAGAGTAGAAGCTGGTTTTTCTGGCATCCGAGATGTTTACACCACAACCCCAACCCATGACAACATGCAACAGAGTTTTTTCCTCGCAGAGACTCTGAAGTAAGTCTAGTATCACAGAGGCCTTTCAGAGTAGCGTAATTCCTGCAGCATCAACACTCTTGTCTGCTTAATAAGTTTCTAATAATAAGAGGGAAGCGTCATCCTCTGTGGGGAAAACTGGGCAAGGCTATGGGTGCTGCAAAGCTTTCATAGTTTGCTCCTGTAGAACCACTGCTGTCATTGGCACTCTCAAGGTTTCTGCTCATGTGCTGGATTTAAAGGACTCTTCCTGTGATTTACAGCTGCTCTAAGTGGGAGGCTCTGACTGCTGAGCTCCCTTGGATTTTGCTCTGATGGTTTAAGAGACAGCTGTCTCCTCTGCCAGGTTAATGTCCTGCACACAGAGGAAGCATGACTATGGCCTGAGTTTGCTGCCCCTTGGTGCAGATCTGCCTTTGCTGGTAGCGTGAGCTAATGTTTGTGGGGTGGCTGAGCGCAGATGCCCCCATGCCATTTTGCCACCTTTGCACCAGGAGTGGTAGTTTCCAGCAGGAGAGTGAGGCAGGCCGTTGGGAAATGTGTCACCATAAACCGTGGCAGCTGAGGCCAATGGCAGCCCCCATCACAGTCCTGCTGACAGTGCTTACTTGTGCGTGCTTGGAGTCCCACTTGAGTTTCCTTTAATCTCCCTTTGTGTCCATCTTCTTCCCACCCGCCCGCGCCTTATGGCTCCAGGTACCTCTATCTTCTGTTCTGTGAAGATGACGTGCTGTCCCTGGACGACTGGGTGTTCAACACAGAGGCTCACCCCCTGCCAGTCAACCACACGAACTTTAAAGCAAGTGTGCAGTAGTGAGGCCGTTGCCCAGCGCCCAGCTTCTGCAGCGTCGGCGGGTTACTGCATTTCCTTTCCATTAAAGGAATTCGCATTGTTCCTAAAATGGTATTTTGGGGCACTAGTCCAATTCCGGACAGTATTATATTGGGAAGATGAAACCATGACATAAGCACCTTCTTTTCCTCTGTGAGGAGCTCTATTAGCCTGATAATGAGATGTTTATTCTGGGCCATATTGTACACAGTTCATAGACATTCCTTTATACAGAGAATTTATATGAAATCCACTGACTTTGCTTTATAGTGGCCAAAGGACTGGAAGTTTGCCATAAAATAGACTTCACACAGACACACACACCCCCTCCTTTCATTTTTCTGTTTCATTTTTGCCTTTTATATACTCTTGGGTTTATCACCTGATGAACAGTTTTCAATATAGTGTGCTTTCTAGGTGGTAGGCTTTCTAGGCTCTTTAGGAAGGACAGGATAGGCGAAGGAGGAAGGGGAGTTGCCTTTTTTGTGAGAGAGCAGCTGGAGTGCATGAAGCTCTGCCTGGGGATGGATGAGGAGCTGACTGAGAGCTTATGGGTTAGGATTAAAGAGAGGACAGGTAAAGGTGACATTATAGCAGGTGTCTGCTATAGGCCACCTGACCAGGAAGAACAAGAGGATCAGGCCCTCTACAGGCAGACAGGAGCAGCCTCAGGTTTGAATTTGCAGGCCCTGGTCCTCATGGGGGACTTCAGCCACCCTGATATCTGCTGGAGGGACAACACAGCAGGACCTAAGAAATCCAGGAGGTTTCTTGAGTGGATTGATGATAACTTCCTCCTCCAAGTGACAGAGGACCCAACAAAGAGAGGTGCTCTGCTGGACCTCATACTCACCAACAAGCAGGGTCTCGTTGGGGATGTGAAGATCAAAGGCAGCTTTGGCTGCAGTGACCGTGAGATGGTGGAGTTCAGGATCCTGAGGGCAGGAAGGAGGGTGAAAAGCAAGCTCACAACCCTGGACTTCAGGAGAGCAGACTTTGGCCTCTTCAAAGATCTGCTTGGAAGAGTCCTGTGGGATACGACCCAGGAGGAAAGCGGGGCCTGAGAAAGCCAGTTAATATTCAATAATCATGTCCTCCAGGCTCAAGAGAGTTCCATTCCAATGAGCAGGAAGTCAGGCAAAAATGCCAGGAGGCCTGTGTGGATGAACAAAGAACTCCTAGCCAAACTCAAACACAAAAAGGAGAAGCATATAGAGGGTGGAAGCAAGGATGGGTAACCTGGGAGGATTACAGAAACATTGTCTGAGCATCCAGGGATGACATTAGGAATGCTAAAGCCCAAATAGAATTGAATTCAGCCAGGAATGTCTAAGACAACAAGGCTTCTACAAGAACATAAGTGACAAAAGGAAGACTAGGAAAATACGGGCCCACAGCTCAACAAGACAGGGGACCTGGTCACACAGGACATGGAAAAGGTTGAAATACCAAATGCCGCCTTTGCCTCAGTCCTTACTAGTGAAATTGGCCTTCAGGAATCCCAGGTTCCAGAGACCAGGGGGAAAGGCTGGAGCGAGGAATATGTACCCTTGGTGGAAGAGGATCAGGTCAGGGAATACTTAAGCAAACTGGACATACATAAGTCCATAGGCCCTGAAGGGATGCGCCCACAAGTGCTGAGAGAGCTGGCAAATGTCCTTGCAAGGCCACTCTCGATAATATTTGATCAATCACGGCAACTGGGAGAAGTGCCCGAAGACTGGAGGAAAGCAAATGTCACTCCTGTCTTCAAGAAGGAAGACCCAGGGAACTATAGGCTCATCAGCCTCACCTCAACCCCTGGGAAGGTGATGGAGCAGCTAATCCTGGAAACCATTTCAAGGCACACGATGACAAAAAATTCTTCAGGAGTAGCCAGCATGGCTTCACCAAGGGGAAGTCATACTTGACCAACTTGATAAACTTCTACAATGAAATGACTGGCCTGGTAGATGAGGGGAGAGCAGCAGATATTGTCTGCCTGGACTTCAGGAAGGCCTTTGACACTGTATCCAGTAAGATCTTCATAGACAAGCTGTTGATGTATGAGGAGGTTGAGCAGACAGTGAGGTGGGTTGAAAACTGGCTGAATGGTTGAGCGTAGAGGTAGTGATCAGTGGCATGAAGTCTAGTTAGAGGCCAGTAACTAGTGGTGTGCCCCAGGGGTCAATACTGGGTCCAGTCCTGTCTAACATCTTCATTAATGATCTGGATGATGTTGCAGCGTGTACTCTCACTTTGCTGATGACACAAAACTAGGAGGCGTGGCTGATATGCCAGAGGGTCGTGCTGCCACCCAGAAGGACCTGGACAGGCTGGAGAAGTGGGCCGATAAGAACCTAATGAAGTTCAACAAGCAGAAGTGCAAAGCCCCGCTCCTGGGAAGGAACAAGCCCATGCACCAATATGTGCTGGGGCACCCAGCTGGAAAGCAGCGTGGCAGAAAAGGACCTAGGGGTCCTGTGGACACCAAATTGACCGTAAGCCAGCAACGTGCCCTTGCTGCAAAGAAGGCTAATGGTGTCCTGGGCTGCATTAGACAAAGCATTGCCAGAGGGTAGAGGGATCCCTCTCCTCTACTCAGCACTGGAGAGGCCACACCTGGAGTACTGTGTCCAGTTCTGGGCTCCTCAGTACGAGAGACATGGACATACTGCAGAGAGTCCAACGAAGGGCCTCAAAGGTCGTTAAGGGACTGGAACATCTCTCCTGTGAGGAAAGGCTGAGAGAGCTGGGATTGTTTAGCCTAGAGAAGAGAAGGCTCAGGGGGGATCTTATTAATGTATATAAATACCTGAAGGGAGGGTGCAAAGAGGATGGAGCCAGGCTCTTTCCAGTGGTGCCCAGTGACAGGACCAGAGGCAAAGGGCACAAACGGAAACACAGGAGGGTCCCTCTGAACATGAGGAAACACTTTTTTACTCTGAGGGTGACCGAGCACTGGCGCAGGTTGCCCAGGGAGGCTGTGGCGTCTCCATCCTTGGAGATACTCAAAAGCCGCTGGGACACAGTCCTGGGCAACTGGCTCTAGGTAGCCCTGCTTGAGCAGGGGGTTGGACCAGATGACCTCCAGAGGTTCCTGCCAGCCTCAACCGTTCTGTGATTCTGTGATTGTGGTGTCAAAATTGTAACTAAATCAAAACCTGTCTGCAAAATTCTTGATCCTAATGTATTTTTATATACTTTTTCTGTGCTCTTAAAACACATTTACCACACATCACATCTCATTTAACTTTCCTTTATCGTTTCTGTGTTTTTCTACTTTTAGTTGGAAATAAATGTTATGAGTCACTTGTAATAATTTCACTGCTGTAATAGTCAAATCTGTGAAACAGAATAAAAGTCTTGTAAAATAAAAAGCATGTTTGGGTTGATCGTCTTTAAAGCCATCTGTCAAAGACCTGTTACATCATGCTTGGAATAACTAGGTGACAATACTGGTTGATTTCAAGAATATTTCACAATAGATGTTGATTTCCAGAGTAATCTAGCCAGTGTATGGACAGCAATTCCCATCTGCACCAGGTCCCTTAAATTGCTTGTTCACCATCTGATATGGGTTAGCAGGAGTTCTACTGCATGTCTTATTTTTCTAGCAAAAAATAAATAATCCCCAGCCAAGTTTGCTCTTTGGTGTACAGTGTTTCTGGAATGAAGTAACAGAAGAAAAAGAAAGGAAGAGATTGAAGCCAGATTCTTCCATGCGTCCGGCCACTGAACTAGCAGTTTAGCCGGTGTGTCCTCAGTGACTCTAAGCAGGATGACCGTGCAGAGATGTTCACGCACCGCTCCTGTTCTGACCCTGGCAGTCGTGAGTACCTGCTTAACGGTTCTTGCGACAGGGGCTGGATCTGGGATCAGCATCCTTTCTCCCAGCAGCCTTCCCTCTGGTCACTGCAAAGCTGCGTGGCCCTTGGTGATGGAACGTTTTGTTCATTCTTGTGACATTCTCTTGATAATTGGTTTATTCAGGAACTTGGGAAGATAGAGTTGCTTTAGGCAAGTAGTGAAAACAAAAAATGTGTTTCTAAATTCATGCCTTTGTAATTCCCCAAGAGAAATAAGGTTGTCAGATGGGGACTTGGCATTATCCCGGGGATAAAGATACTGGCTGGTAAGCTTGGCCTAGAGGAATGGTCATTGGTGAATAAACATCTTGGGAGTGAGTTGTGTTATCCGAGAGATTTGGACAC